GAGAGTGATTTTAGGGGACATGGATCCGCGCATAGACTGTTGGAGTAGATTGGTCTAAGAATTATACTTCTAGCACGAGTCAAGATTGAGATACAGCTCGCCAACTGAATTGCCAGGACTTTCTTGATGATGATGATGGTGATGATGACGGCCGGTTCGCCGATTTTTGGCTTTCCTCTTAGACTAAGTTTAGAGCCACGCTAATGGTACCAATGGAGTCCTCTGGTCAAGATGAGGTCCTCTAAAAGTCTGGTAAGCATAGGAGCTCATTTTCCCGGTATAGCAAGGCTGCAAAAGTCGTGGCAGCCATTTTGTTTGGGGGTGAATCCTACCATAGATTATGTATATATAATCTATGATCCTACTTAGTAACGCTACCGCGTTACTAATAGTACAGGGATTTTTTTCAGAAATGCACCAATTTAAAAAATGGCTGTAACTTGAAAAATTGAAATCGAATTCAGCTCAAAATTTTTACACAGCATTAGAGCGTCAATATGTATCAGAAAATGTAATTAAAATTAGGGGTTATTTTGGAGCCATTTTTTGGAAAAAACCATGGGCTATAGTACAGGGTATTTTTCAGGATTTTAGCATTTTCTTAAAATGGCCGTAACTTGAAAAATAAAAGTTGGGATTGGCTCAAACTTGCTACACAGCATAAGGACATCAATATGTATCAGAAAATATAATTAAAATAGGGGGTGATTTCAGAGCCATTTTTTGGAAAAAACCATGGGCTATAGTACAGGGTATTTTTCAGAAAATGGCTTATTTCGTAAAATGGCCATAACTTGAAAAATTGAAGTCGGAATCGACTCAAACTTTCTACACAGCATAAGGACATCAATATGTATCAGAAAATGTAATAAAAATTTGGGGTGATTCCGAAGATATTTTTTAATGCAATGCTTGAACTGCTCCCTCCCCTCCACAATAATGATAATCTCAGAACACATGATTTTGATTTTGCACTAACTCTCCTATTATTAAGTGTGACTGTACATGTGCATGTACATGCTTATAGCATGAATGAGTCTTATTTGTAATTATAGTTCTAATTTTTTTTCCTTATTATTATGCTCTGTAATCCTTGTTAGTTTATCACGGAGTTTTGTACTAAAAATGATAAAAATGATTATAACATTGTAATCCCTTAACAATAGCAAATTATCGTCTTGTGGCAAAAATAAATGATAATTATTAACTTTTGAATTTAATATTTATAGTTATTATCACACATAATCATTCTTTGGTCCTTTAGCGTTATCTTTTAGTGCTTCCATATTTGGTATGTATATGTATTCGGGATCAGTTCCATACTCTTGATAGTCATTTTGATCATGATCAGTATAATCGTAGACAGCATCAAGACCAGGCATTGTGTGATCGGCTTTACTCTCCTCTCCTCCTCCTCCTGTTTCGCTTTGTTTTGCTAAAATAGCATTTTTGAGGCTGTACGGCTCACATAGCTGCAACTCGATCTCTTGTTCATCTTCTTGTTGACTATATAGGAGTAAGGGAGTATGATGCAAAGAAGATGAACAGTGCAAGTAGGAGTGTTATTATTAGTAACAGTTATTATTTTACTATACCTGGAATGTGGATTGTTTATACATAAATCGAGTGGCTCTTTGTTAGAAGTGCTATATAGAAGTGACAGTTTATACTGAGGCAGCGAATGATAAAAGGGTTACTCACTTATTTTTACTGCCACGATGAATACAGAAGCAAAGACATATATTAATGACCAGACTTATCATTAGTGCTACAATTAAGATAGCAATAGCTGTACCAAAAGCTATACTGACTGTTTTACTGCCAGTACCTACA